TTGGGTTATTCTAATAGATTAGCTAATGCAGGTTAATGTGTTGGACCGCAAGGTCAGTTTGAACCACAAGGTTGTCGTTGGTTCAGGCTCACCAGTCGCTCCTCAAAAAACCCTGTACAGGTCACTATGAGTCAGAAGCAACTCAATGGCACTTAACAACTTTCCAATGAGTTCTTAATGGCACTGGAGGATAAGCACTGGACTGTTAACTGCAAGGTTGTCAGTTCAAACCCACCAGCTGCATCTTAGAAACTCTTCAGGGTTGCTGTAAGTTGGAATCATCTCGACAGCACTTAACAACAAATCATTGAAATATAAATTTTGTTACCAAATTCTGCTGTTTAGTTTTTGTTTTTATCTCTTGTAACGAGGATTTGACAAAGACTTCAGGATTTTGATTTTAAGCACACTTCCAAACTGCCTACTTCAAGCCATGAGTCCTGGTGTGATGCTGTGGGATAAGCACTGTGTAAGCAAGGTTAGCGGTTTAAGCCCACTGGCAGCTCATTTGAAATCTTGTACCAGGTCTCTGAGTTGCAACCCACTCAATAGCACTTAACAGGAGTTCAAGCAACAGGCTCAATGGTTACTGTTCTACATAGACTCCTTTTCCTGATAATGTTCAGTGTGTCATTGGCCTGTTGAAACATACCAAGGCATTGAGTGAAGGTCATTTGATGCTGACTCCAGTTCTCTAAGCGCAGTACACACAGCTCATTGTATCATCGCAGTCATTGAGTTCTTATTACTACAGTGACCCCTTCTGGGCATCACCTACCATTTTTCTTTGCTGTTAAGTGCCATCTAGTCAGTTCTGACTGATAGCGGCCCTGTATAGGGTTTCTGAGGAGAAGCTGGTGAGCTTGAACTGCCAACCTTGTGGTTCAAATCAAACTTGTGGTCCAGCACTTATCCTATAGTGCCACACCCAAACTCCTTTTCTTTGCTAATCATGGTAAGACGTTCCTAAGATTGATCTCCATCACCTTGATATTTTATATTGGCTGCCTCTTGGAAACCCTGAGTCAGAAGCTATGGGTTGTTATGAGTCCAAACCGACTCAGTGGCATTAAGAAGAGTGTATCATTATCTGAGCAAATCTGAAGATTTCATTATGTGTTCTAACAGATCATTTATCATTTATACTTGTCTCAGTACTAATTTGTAGAAGACATTGCTAATACAACTACATACAGAGCATTACTTATTTCCTCAACCCGAATTCACCATACTTTCTTTTTCAGTATCCCGTGATATAGAATCTTGCCAAGGTCGTTTGGAAGCCTAAATATTAAGAGTCCTTGTTTACTTATTCATAATCCCAAAGAACTCAAGGTGATATATGATCAGTCTCTTTAGAGAATTTTTCAATAGCTGAATTCTTGTTGATGAGCCTTGAGGCATGAACAGTTTTTACAAATAAATAAGACAGGAAAATATAATTTAAGCAATAACTTCTGTAAAGATGGGGGCATATAAAGAATGGCACATTTGGGGAATTGTGATGCAGCTGACCTAGTACGTAGCCAGGGGTAGGGTGGCAGTGGAAGGAAAGGAAGACGTCAGATCAGAAAGGTAAGTTGGGGACAGCTGTAATCTATAATGGCCATCATTTGAGGAGCATTTATTGTGTGGCAGGCGCCATATACTAAATGCTTTATACACCTTTATCTAAATCCTTCCAAAAATCAAATCCCTCCAAATATAAAAAGTGTTAAAATAAAGCCATAAGGATCACTATATATTCTCATCCTCAGACATTTTAGTGATGTTTTTAAGTATGGCAGTTTATCTTCAACCTGAGAAATTGATCCAGAAACCCCATCTTCCATGTATATTCAACTTTTATCCTGTGAAGCTGAAGTGTTGTGTTTTTGTCAGCCCAGCCTCACCCCTTTCCCTGGTAAAATCCCATCACCCTGGCAACAGAGATGGGCACAGAACCCAGACGGAGTCACTCATAGTAACTCATCTCACATCAGGGTGTTCTAGATGGAAGCCAGAGAAAGACATTCCTGTCTCTCGGGAGGGTTCCAGCCAGGAGCTGCCATCACCCATCACGTGGTGGAAAACTGACATGCAGAAAGGCAGGGAGGGCAGGTGTTGAACAGGAGAACTGGTGGGGCATCTGTCTCCTGCATCCCCTTATATTCCCTTAGATAAACTTTTATCACCACCACCATCCTTGTTAACTAACCCTGGCTAACCAGGGGGCACTGTTGGTTAGGAGTTGGGTTGCTAAACGCAGGGTCCTGAGGAAGATGAGGCTGTCTGCTACTGCTAAGATTATAGGTCTTGGAAATCCTATATAGGATTGCTATGAATCAGAATTGACTTGGTGGTTGTGGGTTTTTTGGCTTGGGTATTTTATCTGTGCCATTTCTTTTATTCATCACAATAAGCCAGAATTCCACTCCACCTTTCAAATAAAAATGCTGAAGAGCAATGTATGACATTGCAGAATTAGCACTGGACTTCGAACTATAAGGTTGGCTGTTCAAACCTACCAGCTGCTCCTTGGAAATCCTATGTAGGGTCGCTATGAGTTGGAACCAACTCGATGGCACTTAACACCACCAACACTGTTTAACTAAAGGAGCCCTAGTGGCACAGTGGTAAGTGATCAGCTGCTGATGGAAAGGTCAGTATTTAAACACAGCAGCTACTCCACAGGAGAAAGATGTACTGGTCTGCTTCCATAAAGACTGTTGTTACTGTTAAGTGCTGTCAAGCTGGTTCCAACTGTGGATTTTAAACTACTGACCTCATGGTTAGCAGTTCAATGTCTATCCCTACAGCACCACACCAGGATGCCATAAAGATCACAGCCTTGGAAATGCAGTAGGGCAGTTCTATTCTGCACTACAGGGTCGCTATAAATCAAAATTGATTCAACATCAATGCGTTTTTTGATTATGCTTATTTAACCAAGAAATCACCACATCCAAATGTTAATTTCTCTATAACCTTTCTACAATAAATTATTAACTTCTAGAATGATACCCAGATGCCCCTACATTCTTACTGTAGTAAGGTATTTTCCTTTAGAATCTAGTTTCTCCTTTTAAAAGAACATTCTCAAGCATATTCTTATTCCACCCTCTCTTGAAGGAGCTCTGGTAGCATAGTGGTTACAAATTGGGCTGTGAACCTCAGGGTCAGCAGTTTGAAACTACCAGCTGTTCCGCAGGAGAAAGATGAGGCTTTCTGCTCCGGTAAAGATTTACAGCCTCAGAAACCCTGTACAGGGTCGCTATGAGTCGGAACCAACTCCACGGCACATAACCACCACCACCACTTTCTCTTTGCACTGTTTCCCATATGATTTTTGTAATGTTCAGTACAGACAATGATCTTGCACAGAACCTTATATACTGTTTAGGCACCCAGGAGATTGCTGAATCTGGATAAGAACATTCAAACTTTTCAAGGATTTAAAAAATCAAACAAAACAACTTTTCAGAGTATTTCCATTTTTGAAATACACAACTCTTACAGCACACACACAGTATTTACATTTCAAGTCCTTTTTTTTTTTTTTTTACAAAAAACATTGTTATGTTGAAAGAATACTGTTGAGATCATGATCTAAAACACTAGTCAGAGAGCTCAAAAAGGACTCATGAAATCTGGTCTCCACAAATCCACTGTATAATGACAAACAAACTATGGCTGAATGTCAGGGCTTACCCCTACATGGAAACACTCATTTTCTAGATCAGGGCTCAGCAAAATATGGCCTTTGTGTTCAGCTGTGAGTCACACATGGGTTCTGTGTTTGTAAAGGGTTGTTTTAAAGAAGAAGAATATGCTACAGAGACATGTGTGCCCTGCAGAGCTTAAAATAGCTACTCTCTGGCCTTTTGCAGAACAAGTTTGCTGACCCTTGCTTTATGAAAGGCGCCCTGGTGACACTAGTTAAGCACCCGGGTAGTTGCCAACCAAAAGGTCAGCAGTTTGAACCCCTCAGTTCCTCTGCAGGAGAAAGATGTAGCAGTCTATTCCCAAAAAGATTATCGCCTTGGGAGTCCGATGGGGTAGGTCTGCTCTGTGCTATAGGGTTGCTAAGAGTTGGACTCGATCCGAAGGCAATGGCAGTAGCTCTTTAGAGTGTAACTGAGAGTACGCGCTCATGAATACACTAACGAGTATTAAACAAGCCACCACTGTAATGGACCAGCACCGTCAGCACGACTCATTTCTAGAATGAGGCACTTCTGTTTGAATATGTACATTTCTATAACATAATTACATCTGGAAAGTAGCACAGCTATGTAACTCTAGCCCTTTGTAGTTAGGCCTCCACATGAAATCCCAGCATTCCCAGGGGCAGACGTAAACAAAAACAAGCATTTCAGATGTAAGCCATCGACCTCCTCAGTAGTTGGACACCAGTTACAGTCTTAAACACTAATTTTTTTTAAAAATCCATAATTTAGAGGTGGCCAATAAAAGGTGATATTACTGCATTATTTAAATAACATCTACAAAAACATCTTTACACATTCCAATTCATTAGTCTCAGAAGCAAGAGTAACTAGTTAACTTAGTAGCTACTTATTTTAAAAATGGGAAATAGAATAAGGCAAAACCAAGAGCAAAAAGCACAGCTGATGACTCTGGAACGCAGCGAACACTGGGGCCTCTTAGCAAAGGCTCCCACGCTGACCTGGCCTTCTCATATTAACGTTGACGTGCAATGGTTGCTATAGGAAATGAGCAGCTGTCTCTCGGCAGTGAGCTTTTTAGTAAAAAGAATGGCAAGTCCATGAGCAAATGCTTTTTGAAAAACAGAACTGGTTCAGAGTGGCTCCACACACATGACTTCAGGGTGCTGGTTGAATGATGCCTGGTTGTGCCACAAAACAAGTACCGGGCCAGGTTTTTCTCCTTCTTCAGGCCAAGCTGACTAAGCATCCCACCGTGCAGATGTCTTTGTGGCTCCAGGTTTCAAGATGCTCAGTAAACGCTGAGGTAGATGCTATTCAAATGGAGATCTTCTATACCCTGATTCGATCCGGACTAGCTTCTTTGAGTATTCTCCTTCTGGGAAATATTTTCCGCTTTAGTGCAATTAGCTAAATCATGAAAGACAGGAGATAAATTTTAATTCACCATGTGGACAAAGGAGTACATTGAATTTTCTTTCTGAAAGCCACGTGGCTACAATTATTTCCACAGACTTGCACATTAAAAGAAAAATTTAAATGACAAGTCTTCATCGTGCCTCTCGCCAAACAAAACCAACCATTAATTTTATCTGACTTTGTTTAGCAAGGTGCCCATGAATGACTCAAAAGAACTGAAATTATTTTGTTTCACACTTAAGACTTAACAGCTAAGACTTTTACACAGCCATTACCATGCATACTTATTTTTAAGGGGATATCTGCTTGCCAAGTCTTTTGAATAAAAGGAAACTAAATGATGGCTAGCTATTAAGACACATCTTTGAGTTTGAATATTAACACTGTTAAAAATCCTATCAGTATTTCGCTCTATACTTAACTGTAGCAGCAATCATATGAAAATACAGGTAATACCTGATAGATGGACTGGGTTGTGATGTAAAAGTTCATTTATAAATCAGCAGCTTAGAATTCAGATACTTTTTGTTATAGAAAGCAGAGTTTTAAAGGGTTCATTCTAGTTTCCACTGCAGAATTAGCACTGGACTCTGAACTCAAGGTTGGCCGTTCAAACCTACCAGCTGCTCCTCGGAAAGCCTACGTAGTCCTGCTGAGAATTTGCCTTTTCCACCCCTGATCTGCTGAATCAGAATCACTGCCACAAGATTCACCAGGTAATTTTATGTATATAATGTATAATAAGAACCTATAATTGATCTGTAAAATTTAGGGTGGAAAAGTAAGGTGTCTTCATGGGGATCAAACTGGAATGAGCACCGATAGAAACAGTTTGACCATGATACAGCTGAGATAGAAGAAAACCTCACCGTCATTTTAATAAATTCTCATTGAAAAAAAAAAAAATGTGATCACTATGTCTTCAATTTGGGATTGCTCTTCTTTACCTTGTCTTCTCTCTCTCATCCATCCTTCAGTGGGGCTTTGCCCAAGCATAAGCTACAATGGTTTGGGTGATGAGCTAGGATTCTGGGTGGAGGAACAGACAGCGCCGACTGGATCGGAGTGATGGGTGAGAGTGGTGGGTGTGGGTAGAGTAAAGTGTCTGATGTGAGCAGGCAGGGAAAGAGCAGGGAGCTGGAGAGGAGAGGAAACCTAATTTGCCCTTCTTTTCTCCCTCCTCCTGCTCTGTAGCTCCTTGTTCCATGCGAATATAAACAATAGGGATGAAAGACGGACCCTCCTGTCCCCTCTGCATTGCCACCAGCTGCTCTTTTAGTTAGGTCCCTCTCTGTCCCCACCACAGACCAATGTACAGCAGATCTGAGCTCCTCACTGAACGCCTAGTCTAAAAGCTGGTACACATTCTTGTTGTTGTTGTTAGGTGCCATCGAGTCGGTACCTAACAACATAGCGACCTTATGCACAGCAGAACAAAACACTGCCCGATCCGGGTCAACCTCACTACTGTTGCCGCGCTTGAGTCCACTGATGCTGCCACTTGGCAGCTGGGGTCTTCCTCTTTTTCTCTGACCCTTCACCTTACCAAGCATGATATCCTCCTCCAGTATGAGAGATGAAGTCTGGCCATCCTGGCCTCCAACCAGCACTCTGGATGCACTTCTTCCAACAGAGATCTATTGGTTCTATGGGCAGCTCATGGCACTTTCAATATTCTCCTCCAACATCATAACTCAAAAAGCATCAATTCTGCAGTCTTCCTTATTCACTGTCCAGCTTTCACATGCATATAAGATTATTGAAAATACCATGGCTTGGGTTAGGTGCACCTTAGTCCTCAAGCTGATATCTTTGCTCTTCAACACTTTAAAAAGGTCTTGTGCAGCAGATTTGCCTAATGCAATACATTGTTTGATTTCTTGACTGCTGCTTCCATGAGTGT